TTGGACTTGAAGATTTCCAGAAATCTCCTACTTCTGAGGATCCTTGATTCTAAGGTAATTCTGATTGCTCCATATTGTGGCATCAATGATAAATACTGTTGGATCTTTTTATGGACCCTGCCAATCTCAAATAATCCCTCTGCCTTTGAACTCACATTGGATATTATCTCTACTCCTCTTCCAGCATTTCCTACCTTGTACTGTGGTTGTGTGTGACTAAATCTCATTTCTCCTACTAGACTAGGTGTTGGTGGTGGCCAGGAATTATTATTATTTCTTTATCTCTCTCCCCAAACTGCTCTCCCTAAATGGCAAGGTGTTTTAATTATAGTTGGATACCAACACATTCTTTGGTGAATGAGTATTTGGTAAGTAATTAAAAATACCGAGTGAAATTGCTAATAATTTTCCTTTATTGAAGTCTTGAACATGAACTGGAAAGTCTGATGGAACTCAAAGGTAAATCAAAAGCCCATTCTGAAGTGATCTAAGGGTCGTGGGACATTTTCCTGATGTCCTTCACCTGATGAGCATCCAGCTGTCTGTTCAAGGTGGTAAGATCACTTACCAGTCACTGACTTCCAGATTTCTGGTTCAGTCTAATAATCAAAACATACAGAAGATAAAATAACTCTTACTCTGACCAGCCATTCTTATGCCCTCAAAACTGATCATTTTCCTATCTCCTACAGTACTTCCAAACTGGATCCTTCCTCAGTTGAGAAAGAAACAAATGTCACGTTTGGCCAAAGCAGTCTTCAAAAATGGGTTTAGCATTGTTATAATCTGCAAGATAGTCAATATTATCAGCTTGGTCTTACTATAGTCCCATTTTGTGACTGCGTTTTTAACTGATGTCCATCCAAAACAACACATTTAACATCTAGCTGAGTTCGTTACAAGATCTAAGAGTTGGCAAACAATTGGTCCATAAATTTGGGCAATTGAATAAAACAGAATGGAAGAGGAAATGAAACCTACATTTGTGGATGCCTTCTATTTGCTGAGCTCTTTAACGTTGTTATTTCATTTGACAAAAGGAGTAAAGGCACATGTGCAACTGTTTTCTGCTTTTACCCATATGTTTCTAAGTAATTAAGAATTTTGAATATTATTACTATTACAACTATCCATGTAAGATAAAAAAGTTAAATTAAATGATTTTATGTACCAGGTTTTGAAAAAATGTAGATAGGCTCTTCTGCTTTCACACAACCAACAGTCCCTCAAAAATTCCCTCTTTCTTAAGCCAGCAACCATTAAGTTACTCTTAAACCTACACTAAGTACTATTTAACACAGGGGACAGAAAGCCAGATAGGTCTGGGTTTTGGTATCAGTAGCGTCTTTGTTGTGGAAAGATGTCAGCTCCCAAATTCTCACTGCGCTGTACAGATCTGTGTACCTCAGGCGACTTTATAGCGCAAACTCCACACCCTGGGGACTCATAGCAACTTGTAAATCCATGAGGAATTTTTCAGCAAAGGTGTATTTCTTAGTTTATTCATGGATTAGACTTGTAAGAGTAGATTCATTCCAAGGCTCTAATGAGCAGGGTTTTTTTTTTTTTTTCCACACTGAAAAGAACACTTGCTTCTCTTTTTCCAACATTTAGCTTATGATGGTTTTAGAATTTATGTTCTCAGTTATATCTTCCATTGACTTTGAAATCCTAGAAAATACTCACCATAGTTCTTCCCAGAACCCAGCACTCTTCAAAGCCTGTCTTTATATAGCATTAGAAAATGGAGACGCACAAAACTATTTCACATGAGTTTGTTGCTCTGGTTCACTTCTAAGAACACTGGCTCTGCTCTTCCGACTAACCAGAATCACGACAGCTGTCTAATAGCTGAGCAATGTCTGTTATTAGGGGTGAGAATGTGAAGAGATTTCCATGCTAAGTTTCTCAGAGTTGAGCTGAGGGTAAGTTCTATTTTCTTTCACTGGAAAAGATTTGAGCTAGATTTTTTTTAAAAAAAAACAATAGATGTCTTCGGAATGAAGTCCCTAAGACCGTGCTGGAAAGTACTAATGGCCGTGTTTGCCCACCTGGCTGGATGTGCCAGCCTCATGTCTGCGACTGGTCTAGGTCAGTTCATGTCATTGACTTCTACGGGGCTATCAGTATTTGGGTTTTTTAAAACTTTCTATTCAGAGCTGAAATCCCATCTGGTCTTCAGTACTTATTCATTTCTATTCCATTGTTTCCAAACTTCATTCCTGTCTGCTTCAAATGCTTTTCATGGGCATCTTCCTCTTTTGGGGCCATAGGACATAAAATCTTTGAGCTGAAAGGTCCATTAGAGTTCATCCACTATGATGTCCTCATTTTACATATGAGAGAAATGAGGCACAGAGAAGGGAAAGGAATTGATGGTCATAATTTAATGGGGTTTGTCTTAGATCCCAGCTCTTCTGAGTGCTGATTTGGCCACCTGCCTAAAGAGGTGGTATAATCTGAAGTGGGGATTAGAACTAAGGTGCATGTCTGAACAGTTTGTGCCCTCACTATATGACTCTCTATTAGTTTTCTATGCTATGTAACAAATTGCCCCAAGTATAGTTTCTTAAAACAACATACATCTACTATCTCACTGTTATATACTAAATTATTATATATGTGTGTGTGTGTATATATATATATACACACATACATGTATATATTATACCATATATGTTCTATACTATATATATCTTGCTATTTCTGGAGGTTAGGAATCTGATCAAGGCCTAGCTGGATTCTCCAGATTCAGGCAGCAATAATCACAGTAGCTGCCAGTCTGTGTTCTTATCTGGAGGCCCAACTGCAGAAGTATCTTCTTCCAAGCTTTCTCAGGTTGTTGGCGGAATTTATTTCCTTGTGGCTGTGAAATTGAGGGCCCTGGCTTCCTTATGGCTGTTGGCTAGAGATGGTCTCAGCACCTAGAGGCCATCCTCACTCCCTTGACATCTGGGCCTTCTAAGTTGCTCACTTACTTCTTCAAAGCCAGCAAGGGAGAAAGTTTCTAGCAAGATAGAGTCTTATATAACTTAACAGAATCAAGGCGAGAGACACCGCGTGACGGTTTCCATATTCTATTGGTTAGAAGCAACTCACAAATAGTACCCAAACTCAAGGGGAGGAAATTATACAAGGGCGTGAACCCCAGAGATGAGGATCATTGGGGGTCACCTTAGGGACTGCACAACTCCAAACAAATGATTTACTTGGACTAACACAGGAATAAATTTCAGGCAAGAAATATTCTCACTATAACTCACTGTCAGTTTGCAAATACGTTTCCAGTGGTGTGTCTCTGAGCTCTATCCTCTATCTCATTCAATAATTTTATCCTTTTTATCAATGAATCCGTGAAGATACAAAAGATAAGCTTTTCAAATTTATAGGTGAACGAGATCAGAGTGTTAGCAAATAATTTGGATGACACAATTAAGTTTCATTTTTATTTCAATGCTAGTGTAATGGGAATAACATTTTTGATTTATATCAAAATAATTTTTCTATTTGAATTTTCTTGCATGTGACCTCCCATTCAGCCAGAGGCATCCATTTGCCTTGGAGAAAATTAAGATTTTTGTAGCAGGAGTGCAAGGAAAAAGGCAATGCTGAATTTATAAACTCCAAAATGGAAGTTTTGAATTCACAGACTGACTATTCTGAAAGACAGGCTTGGTGAGAGAGAATAGATTTTCTAAACTTCTTTAGCTTCCAGTAACATTATTTTTCTTTTCTTTTCTTTTTTTTGAGGTAGATTAGCCCTGAGCTAACATCTGCCACTAATCCTCCTCTTTTTTGCTGAGGAAGAGTGGTCCTGAGCTAACAGCTGTGCCCATCTTCCTTCACTTTATATGGGACGCCTGCCACAGCATGGCTTGACAAGCAGTGCATAGGTCTGCACCTGGGATCCGAACCGGGGAACCCCGGGCCGCCAAAGTGGAACGTGTGCACTTAACCGCTGCACTACTGGGCTAGTCCTCCAGTAATACTTTTGATCATTGAGTTTTAATATAAGTAACAGGGCAGAGGGAACTTAGGTAAGATGTCACAGAAGCCTCTGCCATTAAAGAAGGGAGGAAAACACACCCCTTGCATTCCCAGAGGGCTGTGGGAAAGAGAAAGAAGACAGAACAGGATACGGTGGTCAGATGTTGGGGCCCTGAGGGACCTTGCTCAAGGCCCAAAATTCAAGGGTTGCTGAAATATCTAGGTAAGTATATGGAAACCCAGTCATACTGGGATGATTGATCAGTTTCCTTAGGTGTAGCCTGAGGCTACCTGCAAACTTCTGGAATTGCCTCACAATGGGCTGGGCAACTGTAATTTCCAGTGTGGTATGTATCACTGACAGAGAGGCGGCTTGATAGATGAACCTGAGGCACCACTTCTAGCCTCCTGTGATCTGTTAGTGTCATTCTTGGAGCTCAGAAATTCCCATATAGCCCAGGGAGGGCACATGGAGATGCTGAGGGGGCTTGGAGTGGAAACAAAGGTTCGCAGTGACAATGTTGGACCTTACCTGAGCCCTGTGATTCGGGAAAACTAGCCAAGGATAAGAAATCCCCTATCTTTTTGTGTTCCAGGAAAGGGCTCACTTCAAAGCACCACCCTCTCCCATATGACCTAGAAAAAGCTATCTGATGCCACCTAGTTTACCTACTACAAGACCAGACCTGTACCCTCCAAATTCCCATTCTTTGCCTCATAAATGGTTAGCTGAATTGCTTGTGTCTACTGATCAACTGAACAAAATACTGGTTAATTAAACTTTGGTTAGAGTTAGAATTTTCTCCTTCTCCCAGTTCTCTTAACTTTGGCCCACCTCCAGCTGAGTCAGTACACAGCCCCTCCCAAGATTAGGCTCGCCTCTCAGTAAAATATTCTCTGATTCACTATTCCATCACACCACTCTTTCATCCCACTTCCTCACACCCAGTTCTTTGTAACCTTGTTTACTCTTCTCTATAAAAGAAAAGCTCTATTTGCAGAACTCTTGAGATGCTTGCAGATATTATGGTTAAGGCGTCCTCCCAATTACAATAGCCCCGCCTCCTACTGCAATAGCCCTTTTTGCAACAATCCTTTTGAATAAGTCTGTCCTTACTAAGTCTGTATTTCTTTTTATTTGACAACAGCATATGTGAGCTTGTGACCAGAGGCAAATGGCCAGAGCCACTGATCCAACCGTGGATGCCAGAATGATGTCCCAAGGCTCAAATGGGGCCATCGACACCTCAGGGATGAGATCCAACAACTTGCTCCGTGGTACAGACCAGTGAGGACCAGAGGATGTCACTCAGGTTTGGCGCCCCTTTTCCATCATCGTGAGGTCTCATGATTCCCTCCTTCAGCCAGTTTACATCTTGGAGAAGAGGGTCTGGAGTGATCCACAGGCACTGAAAAAATTTACTCAAAAGAATCAAGTCTGTTTCTTCCAGCTTAAAAGTCTTTTTTGAATGAGACACCATTACTGGAAAATTTATTTTTTTCTTGCTACCCAGTAGGCTCTTATGAGGGTGACTGGCTCTGTTACCAAAAGTTTACAAAAGCCACATTTTCTTAACTACAACTAACAGTAGTGTGTGCAAATTTGTGACCGGCTACACTAGAATTATGAATCAAACAAAACAAGATGATGTTCCACAGCAATAAATGTAAAATCCTGCCTTTGAGCTCAAAAACATGTAAGGACAGGATGTGAATATTTGGTTTAGGAACAGCATGGCAGCACTCAGGAAGAAAAAATTAGGGGTTGCATTAGTCAGGAATTTTTTGGTCGCAACTTACAGAAACCCAACTGGAATTAGGCAAAAGGTCAAAAAGGGAATTTATTGGATCTTGGAATCCAAGAACAACCAGACTGAGAGAAGGAAGGGAGGCTGCTGTGTTTTAGGGAAAAACGGGGCAAGGGACACAAAGCTGTGGGACTCCCTCCATTCTAGTCTTGGCTTCTCTTTGGGTGGCATTCTCTCCTTTGGGTTTTCTTCTCTCTCACTACACACCATCCTTCTGCACTAGGCAGGGTTATGGCCCTTCAATGCTTGTGAGTCTCACCTCTTCTGACTTTTGCTACTGGACTTGATGGCGGCTCAGAAGAATGCTGTGGAAGAATTCTCATAGGAAACCTGGTAAGGGCTCTCCTGTGGCCAGGGAAAGAGAATCATGTAAAAAAAAAAAAAAGCTGTTCTCAAACTAGCCATTTAAATGTGTTTATGGGAGGGAGAAAAGAAGGGGGCCACTCCAAAATTTCAAGAAGTAAAGGAAGTTTCTGGATAAATAATCCCATATAGTCCAAGTATAAGTGTGTGGTCAACATTGTTAATATTAAGTAAGGGAGAGAACATGTTTTTCAGAGAAGTTGATGTGGTGGGAGCCCGGGTCTGTGGATGTGGAGTTCAGGGTGCCACAGTTAGCACACATGGAGGCTGGGGTTTCCTTATGAGGTCACACTTAGAGGACATTATAGGCCACATGTAAGGCCTTTCGAGGGAAGCAAGTAGACTGGTGCGGCAACTCAAACCATCCCGTGTTATTGCTGATGTAGCTATCTCGAGGACCCCCTGAAAGTACTGAGGATGTTTAGACTGGAGAGAAGAAGGCCAGGGACATAGCAGCCATTGTCAACTGCTCCTATTCTTTATGGACTAGTACCTAGAAGCTTCAAGGCAACAGAGTTTGATTCAATATAAGGACTTCCTCACAGTGATGGCTGCCCCCGATGAATGGGTGTGTATGACGAAGTGGTGAGATCATGACACATGACAGTACAGGGTACATTTATTGACTCCTTCATCTATTCATTCATTCAGCAAATATTTATTCATTAACAAATAGACCACATTAGTAAATGGACAAGTTCTACAAGAGCAGCTCAACATTGCAGTACCCACATGGCCCAGTGTACTAGCACTATGTTAATATTTGTTAAATGAATGAAAGAATATATGGATGAGTGAGGGGGTGTGGACACTGTGCTGGGTACTAGAGATGACCTTACGACCCTCAAGGAGCTGACAATTTAGTAACCGAGGCAGTTGATCAAACAGTGATGGTGCTCTGCATGCAGTGGATACATGTACAAGTTGCTTTGAAAGAACAGAGGGGTGGTATTGGCAGAAAGTGTTCCTGGAGCTCAGAGAAGGGCTGGCAGAGTTGGAAACTTCTTATTGGAAAAGGTAAGCAAAGTGGAGAGGAATGGGAAGAACATTCCCAGAGGGAGAAAAAGTATAGCTACGGGAAAGAGGTGGGGCGAGGCAGGCCTCTTGTTCCTGGGTTGCCCCTCTGCCTGATGGAAGCCCCTCTGCAGGCCCCATGGTGCTCTGGTTCTGTTCCTTCCACTTCTGCACTGCACTTCCCATTCCTGCCCCATGATATGTGCTGGAGTGGAGGGGGACAGCCAGAGAACTCTGGGTGTGCGGAGGAGGCCTTCAGCCCATGTTCTCCCCACCTTCATACGGAGAAGGCAAAGGCCTAGGGTCACCGAGGTGCCCTAAACTCCTCAGAAGAAGCCCTTTACTCACTCCTTTGTTGGAGCATTTATGCTCTCACTCCCATCCCTTCCCTTATCTAACCTGACCTCCTTTCTCTACTGTGATGTGATGTGGTGTATGTAATATACTCAGTATCACAAAGGTGTAAATGATGGACCAGGTTTAATCTCTTACCCATTCAGCGTTCATCTACATTTTAATAAGAGAGAGTATTTTTAGCCAAAGCAATGATATCCTCAACAGGAAATCCTGAGCGTCTCCAATAGAAGTGGGAAGATTTAGAGGATCAGTGATAAGGATGAACTTCTTTACCCCTCCACCTCCAAGAGTTTTTTTCACACTGCTGGTCGTGGATTGGGAAATCAATTTTGAGGGTCACAGTTAGCATTAAAAAAAATGAAATCGAATTGAGTAGAATGGAATAGAAGAGACAAAAATATCAGAGTTCATAGCATGCAGTAAGGGTAAGTTACGTTTCACAAAACATATTTCAGGTAAATGTATATGTGTGTGAATGATGTAAAATACACTTTTTGCTGTGAGTTGTAGTAAAACCAAAGATTTGAAAAAGCACTGCCTTAAAATTACCCTCTAGAAAAGTACAATTTGATTTTTCCTGAATGAGTTGGCTTTTTCTTAGAATTGGGACAATCTCGGCTAGTCTAGCCTGCCTTGTGGTGGGTTCTAAGCAGAATAGTATTTCGATTTTTTTTTTCTATGTCCCATATCAGAGGAGCGGAGGTCTCTCAGTTTTTCCAAGTCCTCTCAGGAAACGAAACAAAATGAAATGCTAACCATTGTTTCCTGCCTACCTAAGCAAAGGATTTTTGCCTGACATGTCCCCATTATAAGAGATGAAAGCTTGACTCAGTGTTTCTAAGTGCCTTTGAGGATTAGAGTCATTCATAATGCATATCTGCCATTCACAAGAGTAAATGTGGATTTCCTACTGGACTTTTTTCCATTTGTCGAAGGCAGGAAAACCAATGAGGCTTGTTTAAATCAAATGAGGTCACGGTTTGGATAACTAGTCCTGAGGAAGAAAAGCTAGACCCACTACTAGTATTGCAAAGTGTTCCCCTGTTCCCAAAGGCAAGCTGAGCCCTTGGGTCTATGGCACCAGGTAAAGGGAGCACAAGAACACACAGACTGTAGAAACATTTTCTTTTCTTTTTTTGCCAGAAAAGCCTCCTGAGCTCTGAAGAGATGCATGGAGAATTCCATTTTACCGAGTCAAGAGGATCAATTAAAATGCCACGTCTGCTAGGTTTAAGGTGAAATAGAGCCCCTGGAGATTCAGAAGGACCACTTCGAGAGTTTCTGCCTCAGGGAAACCTCCCAGAATTGTAAACTGGTTGTTCAGGTGATGAAATTTGTCCAGAGTCTGTGCCACCCAGATGCAAGAAAATAAATCCACAACTTTGGCCAAATTGATAATGAGTAATGATTAACAAAATGTTCTTTTTCCTGGCTGGACTCCCGGGAGAGAGACTTTGTTTCTCCCAGGTGGCTTAAAGAGGAGCTTGCCTTTGTGTGTTCTCCACATTCCAGGAAAGATGAAGGTAGAGCTAACGTCTCTCCTGCAGGCGAAGTTCCCTGTCCTAGGTGGTCTTTATGGATCAGGCTGCCTCCTAATTACATACTGATCATTTAAAAAGTGAAACTCCAGGGAGCGACGGGCCAGTGAGCAATTCCTCTGACTCCTCAGAGCCATCAGACTCACGTGGTAAGTCGTTACCTCCATGATATCATATTTCAAGAGCTTCGGAACATAACCTGGTGCTCCCTGCCTGAAGTCCCACATGACATTAGCCCCGACTGAAATTGAGTCTACTGGAAGAAGTCACCTCTAAGCCTTATCTGCTACCTAAATTTTAGTATGAAAGATTTTTTACTTAAAAGGAATACGTGGGGGAAAGCTGGGAATATCAAATGTTATTAGCATTTCTTTCACGTTTGGCCCCACGCAATTCGAATGGACTTGTTTGTAGTTTAATAAATCAATGTCTATAAAGAAGCAATGAGATGAAAAGTGGCAAACAAGGTCCCAGTAACCACTATTTTAAGGAAATGCAGACCATAATGATCAGCAGAGGGAGGGAGGATAGGGGGCTATTGACAAGGCCGACTGAGAAATGACAAATAATCCTTTACATAGAGAGGTTTGCTTAGAAATGAATGGTCTGTCTGGGATTCTTGTAAAGTTACAGGAATTATACCAAATATGACCCAAGTTTCACTGGAAATGGTTTATGGATCAGAGAAGTATGTTTGGAGAGACAGTTGAAGAAAATTCAGTGAAAGCTATGAAATGTAAACGAAGTCTAAGAGTCTGGAGCCTTCCATGAATGCCTGTGAGGAGTCTTTCCCAAGCAGAATTCTTTTGGGAATGTAATTCTGGATTCCCGTTTTCGTCACTTGACGCTTAATATGTGCCTTTCTCTTCTGGGTGAGTTGGGCATATGCATACTTAACATCTCCCCTCGTTCTCCATATTGCTTAGCAGAATGCAAGAGTTTCACAGACAGAGGTTGGAAGGAAGGAAGGAAGAATGAAAGAGAAGGATAAGGAAAAGACATAGGGGAAAACATGGAAGGAGGGAAGAGAAAGAAAGAAAAAGAAGCAAGTCCTACTAGAGCCTAGAAAATAGAATGCAGACAGAAATAGAGGCTTTGTTTATTCTGCTTCACAGTCAGGCTGTAGCCAGGACTGATATCTGCCTTCCTGTCCTGGGAGCGGGGTGATCTTGCTTATCTGAGCTTGGGATACAACCAGTAATGGGATTCTAGAATGAGCAGTGCCCACACGGCTCCCTAGGAAGACCAGTCAAATTGAGTGAATCTTAGAGAGGTAAAGAAAGAGAAAATGAGGAGAGAAAGAGGAGGCCCAGGAGGTGTTATGTGGGGAAGAACGAGGCAAGTGCGTTTATTTCCAATACACAGTAAATGTTTTGCAGGTTGTGCAAGCTAATAGTCGACACATGAGGTTGGTCTTGGATAGAGCAGGTAGTCAATAAACAGTCCCTGGAAACTGGGGGTGGGCAGAGAAGTAGGTGCTAAAAGATTTAAGGGATTAAATTATTTTCAAGCATATTAGAAGTATTTAGGTTTCAAATTGATGTGCCGATTATAAATAATTTTATTTTTTTGGTGAAGCAGGTCCCCAAGGGTCTTGCTAGTCACATGTGTTTTTGTCCCACTGTGGTCATTTTATGGACCACTTCCAAATTCAAGATGCTAAAGTATTTTCTTCTTGTGAATTGGAGGCCAAGCCAGAGGCTTGTCTCCCTGTGGGCTTCATGCTTCTGCGAGGGGCCACCTTTTCCTCTTCCTGCTTCCCCACACCCCATTTCTGCGACCATTCTCATTCAGCAAGGACGGGGACCACCATATGAAATGTGGACAACTGTGAGTGTCTGCTGATGTTCACTGAAGACCTAGACTTCTGCTACTGCCTTCACCCCAAATCTCCCCCTAGAATTCCCTCTCTGCTTTCTGGGGTCCCAATTTCACTGCAGGGAGTTCTGCAGACAACAGCGGCTGGAACGGAAGAGAATGAAGGAGTCCCAGCAGCTACTCTGTGACGTCCTGAGATGGAACTTGGGGTGTTTTAATTTCAAAAGCAGAGTTGAAAGTGGTGATGAGATTTCACGGTACCATTAGTGTGGTACTAGACTTGAGGCACAAAATGAGTTAAGGAGGCATCTGGAAGCTGGCTCAGAATTCAACCACAATGTTTCTATGACAAATTGGCTACTAATTTGCCAATAACCAACTTAGAAATGACTATTAGAATCAAGACATATCCACTGAGAACTAACAGAACTAATACGGTCTAACTATTTCAGATTTTGCACAAAACTCAGATGGATCTAACTTGTCTGAATTAGGGTCTTCAGGTAAAGTAGATTGAATACATCCTATTTCAGTGGGCTTGCCCTCATTACAGGCTGATTTGCCCACAGGGAAATAGGCAATAAAGTCTGATACTCTGATGGTACTAACACTTTCTGGATGTTTGTAGAAGGAGCAACCTTGGTCCAAGTGAACAAGAAAAGAGGAAGTTCCCAAACCACTTGCAAAGGGTTGAGGCCGAAGAACAGATGTCTCTGGGCTGCCCAGACGTCGGCCGCATGGCCCAGCAGTGCTGCCGCTGCCGAAACCCCAAGTCTGCAAGTCAGGGTGGTCTGGAAGTGAAGGATTGTTTTCCTGAGAGTGGTTTCAAGAATGCAACTCCTCACCTAATAAAAAGAATGTGCAATGATTAACTGAGTCTAATATTAGCATCTGCAAAATAAAGAGCAATTGGGCCTGCTATTAAAGAACAAACCTTGCATGCACCCGCTGCCAGGTAAAATCTGTTCTTTCTCAGTCATAAATCTTTCTTGGACGCCAGAGAAGAATTTCACTTCCGTCAGAAACACTGGGTGAACCGAAGAAAAAGAACATGCTGTTTTGGAGATGAAAGCGACTTGAGTTTAAAGGTCTTGGTGCCTTTTCTGTCTGTTTTGCTTGCTTTCTCTGTGGTGTCCTTGACTTGGCCATGCCTTGCATTGTTTGTTGGATGATGAGGCAGCAGTGGGAAAAGGTCAGGATGGGTCATTTGCTTCAGGCTGTAGCTTCAGGCAGAGAACTAGCATCTGACATCGAATCTCACTGTTCTCCAGGGTGGACCCTTGGTGAAACATCTTTGAACACCGAACCCTTGATAATTGTGAAGAATACATTAAGAGACTTTAGGATTTTCCTAAACTTGAGAACTCCATCCACTAATTGAGATGCAGAAGTTGAATTGATTTGTTCATCAAATAAGGTTACCACTCTTGCTGAACCAGAGACTCAAATTGGTAGTTGCCACTTTACTTGTATTACCTAATCTGACTTCATGAAACGCTTTGATGTAAGGCAGTGGTTTTCAAAGTATGGGCCTCACAATACCAGCATCACCCGAGAACTTGCTAGAAATGTACATCCTTGGGTCCCATTCCAGACTTACTGGGCCAGCAATCTCCCTCTTCAGTAAGTCCTCCAAGTGTTTCTGATGGACGCTAAAGTTTGGGAACCACTAATGTAGGAAACATTATCACCATAAAACATATTATATGCTGTGATGTCTTGGAACTTTGAAGTCTCTCTTATAGCTAAAACTTTAAATTCTAGCTTTCCAAGGATCTTCAGTACCATGCGTGCAGTAGGCAGTCAATAAATGTTCCCTATAGATGCTGTGTCTCTGAGATAGTAATCATCTTTTATTTTCCTCTTTTCCTCCCTTCCCTCCTTGCTCCCTCCCTTCCTACTTTCTTCCCTTTCTGCCTTCTTTCCTTCTCCTTCTTTTCTTTTTTGTCTGCCCTGTATCACTTTGGGGAGCATCTCTTCCCCTTTACATATATTTTAGATGGTGCTGATAATCAAGTGGGTCTGATCTCACCTACCACTCAGTGTCCACTTCACCCAGGCTGGCCAATCAAAGTGCTCCACTCTCTGGACACAGTAATTGGTCCAGAGGTCCTAGCAGGGCCACTGAGAGCCTTTGGGTTGGGGAGATCAATATGAACTTTATGAAGGAAAGACTGTCTATTCCCGACTTTGTGAGCACCAAGAAACCAGGTGAACTTGGAACTTCTTGGGGGCTCATCTTCCTCCACATGCAGATGGTCTGCCTGGGAATGAAGCCATCTCAGAGGAAGGCAAAGCCAAGTTCTGGACGGAGAGAGGGCAGGGAGTTGATGTCACCTTTTGAACCCAGAGCTTCACCATGCCTTGAAGTCAGAATCCGCTCTCTCCTTGGACGTCATATTCAATTCAACGTTCCCTGGGAATACCTTAATCTGGGATCCTGGGGACATTCCTATTAATGATTTTGTACTTATTGAAAAAGTAGGAGATACACATACAAATTGGTACCTAGTAGACTGTGTCATTTAGAAAGTTAAAGTCCCTTGTGATGATAACCACTACTTCCCTGAAAATCACTGTATGTAGTTTTGTGCATATTCCTTTAGATTTTTCTGTCAGTATACTAATAAATTGCGATGTTAACTGAGAATTTTCTTGATGCCGCAGTTTTTCTAGAAGCCAATAAAATCAAGGATAAAGCAATAGGTTCTAACACCTACATTCTAGAGTGAGCTTGTTGGACTGTTCATGCAGGATTTGTAAAGCGAGTGATCCAGGCCTGCCATTATTAGCTCATATAAGAGGTTATATTAAAAAAAGCCTATGAATTCATGAGGGCATTGACAAGGCCAATAGGAGCACATCTGTAGAGAACATTCTCAGCATGGCGAGGGCCACCCCCATCCTGACATAGGGGCAGAGAAAACTTCCCTTTCACCCTAAGCCAAGTAGGGGAGGTGACTTCAAGAAAATCACTCAGGGGATGTCTTATGCATCCACTGGAATTTGGGTATGTGGTACCTGGTACCTCATTCATCCTTTATTGCTACCCACAGGGCAGCAGAGGGAAGAGATGAGACTGAACTCATAATTTGATTTAATCTGACTTGATTTCCTCTCTGACTGTCTGCCAACTGTTTCCAATTTGGAACGGTTACAAAATGTGAAATTATTCTGGCAGAATGCATCTATCTGGTTTGGTTGACCCTTGGAAAACCTTCCTCCATCATATCCAATCATGGATTTCTCCTCCAAACCCATGACCTTTCTTTTACACTCTCCTGAGTCATTCTTCCCAACCTGGGTCCCCGCCACTCAACAGACTCAGGCACCACACAGTGAGGTGGTTATTATTGTGTGAAGTTATTTCGTAGGGCCAGTTACACTGGTCATACACACAATGACTTTAGATATGTGTGCACAGACAGTGGCATTCTTTACAATAATTTCCAGGTCTATGTCCCAATTAACACCAGAAATTTCTGGAACTATAATTCTTTTTCTGGACTCTCTATATACCTTTCCATCCCCAGTTTCTTCTCCATGTACCCAAATAAACTCCACTGCATAAAGTTCTTGAATTCTGCTTATGGGATCTCCCCTCACTGAATCCCCTCTTTTCTGTGCATCTAGCTATTAGGTTCTACTCCCTTATAGACGCTGTAAGAATATTGTTTATAATAACCATTTATTAATTTTAAATAAGTGCACTTTTGCCACATTATCCCATCTCTTACTCATAAAATCCTTCTGAGGTAACTCTGTCTCCATTTTGAAGATGGAAAAAGAGAGGCTCGGAGGGATTGAATGATTTGCCCAGTGTCACACAGCAAGTAAGTAGTGGAGGTAGGACAAGGACTCAGATTTTCCTTCCTTGTAAGATCTATCTTCTTTTCCTTACGACCCCATCTCCTCACTGCCTACTCTCTGAAGCCACAGGATTACATTCAGGTCCACCAGTTTCAGCTATTTCTCTCTGCTCTATATCTCTATCCTTTCTCTTCAAACTCTCTAGAAATACTTCAAACTCTTTCAGAAGTTTCTATTAGTAGAGTTATATTTCAAGCACTCTGATCCTGGTCAGACTTCGGGCTGCCAGTCTACAAAAGAATTTTCGGGAGCAAATTGCTTCTGCTGATCAGTCCAACTTGAATATTTGAGACTTTTGTTCTATTAACTTTTCTTCAGAGGTGTTTTCTTTTTTAAAAGAAAAATATTTCCCTCCGAACAGAAAAGAGTTGAAATTCCCATTTGTGGGATGGGGGAGGTTTCTAAAAAAAATCAAGACGTTTCTAAAAACAACAACTTGAGCAAATATCTGAAAAATGCTAGTAAATTAAAATATTCACTCAAAAATCATTGTTTCATCATCATTCTGTATGTATATAACATATTTACTTTTTCTCTTCCCATATCACTCTTGGCTACCAGCAGTTTTTATGAAATCTTTGTTCTATATAATTGTTTTTTTGTCAACTTTTCAATTAACAAAGAGAAAAAAAGGATGATCTTTAATAATATTACTTGCTTTTGACTTTTGATATAACATTCTAAAATTGTTGACACTGAATAATAATGGAAATAAAGAGTAAAAAGGGCTTATTACTTGTGTGTAACTGCCTGAACGGACGCTAAGTGATTTATACAATTGATTTCAAAATTTAAATCTTTTTTAAAAATACACTTTCAAGTATGTTGGTTTTCATCTTATCTGTCTAAATATTAGGCTTCCGGGTTTATACGTCCACTGAAAGTGGCTCGGATTAACAGCATTTATTCTTGGTTCTCGGGAAAAAATGACATAACCTAATTTCGTATGTCTAAAAACACGAGTTGCAAAACAGCATTTACGGTAAATGTTTACAAACACAGCCTCACTTGACCTTCAAAACAACCCAGTGAAATATTATCATTATTTACAAGGTGAGAAGTCTGAAGGTCAGAAGGCCCTCATTCTGTAAACATTGATTAAGGTTTACAGGGCCGAGGAGAAGAAATCTTCAGGGCGGCCATTTGGCCCAATCTGCAGGCTTAAAAGGGATGTTCACTACAGCTGTTTTTAAGTGGAGATTTTGTCTGTGGAAACAGGGTCTGTTCCTGTCTCTGATACCAACTTCAACCTAGAATCACTCTTCTGTTTTTTCTCAAAAAGCTACATGGCTGTCATTTCAGAAACTGTGATGGTCACTCAGAGGTACTAGGAGATGGCAAGCTGGTAGGGTTGCCAGATAGAATATAGGACTCCCAGCTAAATTTTAATTTCAGATAAACAATGGGTCATTTTTAAGTATAAGTTTGTCCCAATATCTCAGACATACTTATATTAAAAATGATCCATTGTTTATCTGAAGTTCAATTTTAACTGGACGTCCTGTAATTTTAATTTGCTAAATCTGGCAATCCTATAAGCTGGCTTTGTAGGCAAGAAGCAGTTGGTGGCCTGGTTCAAGCTTTAAGGAGAGTGATTCTACTAATAACACCATGCGAGGCAGACAAATGCAGAAGCCAAAGCTGGACTTTGCTGCTTGGGTTCATTTTGTGGTTCCACTGCTTACCAGCTTACTTCACCTCCCTGAGGCTCAGTTCCCTCCTCCGCAAAACAGCAGATAACAGTATCTATTTCCTTAGGATTATTGTGAGAAGTAAATAAAATAATCCAGCATATCTTTCCCATGATAAATGCTCGATAAACTTTGTTTTTACGTTATTTCCACATAGTGCGTCCTCTTCCCAGAGAACACAGTCACAATAATCCTTTGAATTATCCATAATATATCTATATCTATGTCTGTATCTGTGTCTACATCTGTATCTACATCTGTAGCTATATATGGAGTTTCTTACCGGCCAGGACACTTGTAACTAGTAACTGCATTGTCTGATGAATCTCCCTTAAAAACATTTTTCTCCATTTATAGAATGTTTTGTATTAAGTTGTCAATATTCATTATTATTGGTTTCAACTCTGGTTTAAGAAAAAGGGAAGTATTCAGTTTTAAAATATTTGAATATAAATCTGTTTAACTTAATTTTCCTGTTAGTTTCATCCTAATGTTATAAACTTTTAATGTATAATGTAGTGTAAACTTTTAATATATACATAGTCTTATTTGTCGAGTTAAAGACAAACTATTCTTCCTTTATATCCTAAATTTCCTGAATTTAGATATTGTTTAGGAAATAATTTAGGTAAAAATGCAGTTAGTGTGTGCTTTGAATAGTGCAGGTATTACGGCTTCACAAAATGTCGTTCTCTTGTGTGCGTGTATCTGTATACATATGCACACACACACATATAAAACAAATGTTTCTGGATTTGTCTCTTTATCTTTTAATTCGTGGTTACCATATGCGTCTACCTGAAACTCCTAAATCTAGGAATAGCCACATGCGAGGGTGAGAGGATGGGATGAGGGATCTCAATATGTCTAAGCTGTTTGAATTTTCCTATGCTTTCACAAAGTCTGGTGAATACCATGTACCTGTCACTAAACACTGTGGGATCACGCAAAGCCGCATAAAACCTAAGGGGCTTATAATTTGTTTGAGGGTGGAAGAATGCAGAATAAAACAGACATAAAATTAGCCACAGTAAAAGCAGCGAGTGATAAACAACTTATGATAGATACTGATAATGTACGCTATGGGACCAGATAGATGTGTTTGTCCATTTACAAGGACAAGTGATAGATCCAACTGCCACATTTGACAATGATGACTTCAAGGTGAGATACTTCCCCACTGAAGTGTGATTTTCCCTTTCCTTTTCTTTTTCTCTTCTCCTCTCCTCTCCTTTTCTGTTGGACACAGACCTGTCCATCAAGGTCAACATTCATGGTGACATTTTAAAATAGTGTCTACTGCATAACATCACTAAATAGCTTGCTTTAATTTTTAAAAATTTGATGGCTTTTAAAAATGGCCCAATATTTCAGACATACAAAGTACATATAATAATATTTTAACACAAATGAAAATGAAATTAGGCTAACTTTTTTTTCATATTAAGTGAACAAAACTGTTTACCGGCACACAGTACCCCCCAGTGCCTAAGTGGCTATACTCAACCTGTCCTGCCAGGATTTGCTGGTGGCACTGGAAGTCACCACACTCTTCAGCAAAGTAATCTGTCAACATGCAGCAGGAGCCCCAACAATGTTTATACCTTTGTCTCAGAAATCCTGGCATCTGACCAACTAGCTTAAGAAAACAATACAGGGAGGAGCTGGTTACACACACGTAAATGCATGTGTGTGTGTATCTTCTGTTTGTCTAAATCTGTATGTCTGGGGAAACTCTTGTAATTTTTATGTTCATATCCATATTTCCTGTATTAGGAGAAAATAGGGCTGCTTCCTGAGTGGGTGCTCCGTGCAGTTGCACAAAGTTCTACGCTCAGAAAGCGGTTCATGCTTGGGGTTTGATGCTCTGTGGTCGTCATCTTGAAATTCTTAATCATTTTATCTTTGAATTTGTGTTTTGTAAGTGAAGGGTCAATGGAGCATACACAGGGTCTTGGAGCCTTGATTTACCTGTGTTCCTGTCTCCTACCACCTCTTTTGGATGGGTTGTCTGCCTCCCATTCCCTGAGACTGCCCAGTTATGGCTGCTGCCTTCTGTTCCTGGTGGGGGCCTGGGCCTGGGTGGAGAGATGGTTGGGGTCAAGCATGTGCATCCTACATTGTGGTTTGGGGGCCTGGATATCTGTGAGGGTCTCCATTCGCTTGAAGATTCCTGTTGCACTCAAGTGAGTGCGACATTAAATAGCAAATAAAAAAAAACACCTTGATAGGCTGAAAGAGAGACCACAAAAGAGAGGAAAAACTTTTCCCTGCTTTTGCAGACAAAGGGCCCACATCTGTATTTTGCATAGGGCCCTGTAAATTATGTAGCTGTCTCTGGAAGAAAAATGCCAGGAGGTGAAATTCAGAGGGCTTGGGGTTCCAGGACAGCTTTACCAAGAAGTTACTCTAGCTAAAGTGGGACAAAAGCAAACTCATCCTCTTAGCTTCAGACCCAGGCTGCAGGAATCCAGCCAGGGAGGGGGAGACTGCTCACAAAGCCCATGGCATTCCTGTGGGCAGAGCTTATGGCTTTTCCCACACTGGTAAGAAAGCGTCTTCAACTCTTGGCCCTGAGAATTATTGCCCTTGGGAGGAGTGTGTGTGTGTGTGTGTGTGTGTGTGTGTGTGTAGGAGGGAGGTGTGGAAGTCAGCACTGCCTGGGTCACTTTCTGCAATATTTCTTGTGGCTTTCTTCTTTGTTTCTTTTTCCCTCCATCTAAAGAAACGATCTCTTTATTTTAGACGAGATTTGTCCTAGAGCTTTAGTTCTTATGTGTGAAGATTCTTTTTCAAAGAAAAAAAAAGAACGAAGGTAGATTCAGCATGCCAGGCAGACCCGTCAATCTCGTCTGTAATTGGGTCTGCTATTGGTGAGTAGCCACTTGGGAGGAAATTGCTCATCCATGTGGAGTGAATGAACTGTTTCAGGGCGCGGGGCCTCCACAGAGGGCTGCATGCTGGCCTCCTGCCAGACAGTCTCCTTGCGGTGCCTGGCTCGGCTGCAGACTCAGGTTCAGACCAGGGAGCAGTTTGTTCCTCTGGTCCTGCAGATAAGCATCTGTTTGCTTGCTTTCTTCCTGGTTCAGTGGGGCTGAGTTCCCTTTAGAGAGGCATTGACATTTAGATGTATGACGGCTTTTGGTGATGGGAATAGGGACCTGGACTCGCCATGAGCCTTGAGGCCCTTTGTTTGACGGAGGGAAGAGCAAGCAATAGTAGTTTCATGACGTCAAGGTGAAAGCTGATGAGGCCACTCCTGCTTCCAGTCGATTAATCTCTGGACCATTGGAAGCCAACTGTTTATAAAGAAATGCCAGCTCCATTGGCAGTTTCTCCATAATTGTTCTACAGAGTTGGCATTACTTTTTCTTTCCTCTAACATATTCCAAAGAATGCCTTGTTGCAAGAGCTCACGTAAAATAGTTACCCCTCCAAGTCAATAACGTGAGATCACCTCTTTTATCCACCAGAGGCGTTGGAGATAAATAAATTGATAAGGAAGTGGAACTCCTGTGTTTACACTTTCAGATGATTTAACTGAAAGAACATTTAGCTGCCACTCCGTCCTGTTTTGAAAGAACCCTCTGCTTAGGAGGCCAATGACTGAATTCACATCTTCAATATTCTGCATAAAACCCTTCAAGAGGAAGGCCTCTCTTCCTCCTGAATGGATTCCAGAGCACAAAAGCCCATGTACTTCGTAGCTGTTATTTGGAATGGCATGGTACTTTGGAGAAGAGAGTCAAAAATCTCCCAATGGCCTTTATGATATAGGGACTATAATAGAACTATAATAGAATGCAGAATTAATAGGTTAGTATAAGACATACTAAGACTTTCCAGGCCCATCCTTTAGAAAGAATAGAGAATAATGCTGTCTTCTGGAAGGGACTGAGCTAAAGGAGAGAAATATATATTTGGGTCACAGTGAAGAGTCTAAGAAGGCAAAATCACTGAGATGAGCCCGTAATTTAGTTGAGGATAAGAGTGTTGAAAAATACTCCAAAAGCACTTTTTTCTAAATCTCTTAGCAATAATTATCTTGGATTGTGGTTTCGTGTTGACTTGTGGATCTCCCTCACTTGCCTAAATCCTCTAAGCTTAGTATCTGGAGCACATATCATCCTTTAAGGCTTAGTGAATGAAAGAATGAACTTTGACAAGACTCTTTTCTCTGTGCTATGAGTATAGAGTAGGAGGAGTGGTCAGGGTGTGGTGATACCCAGAGCAAAGCCCTTGATGTGATTTTAAGGTCTTTGCCTCAAAGAAGCCAAGATGAAAACATTCAAGGGGAAAGACGCTCCCTGAAGGGAAGAATGTATTGGCAACACCCAAAGTGTCTTAAGCAATATGAAACAACTTACAGCTCTTGATAGATGAGCTAGGAATTTGGAGCATATATGCCCCTGGGAAATCAGCCAAACACTGCGTGGACATATATTTTAAATCTATAGCAACAACTTGAACAAATTGAGGTTGTTCTCAACTCTGACCCTCTCAGGGCTCCTCCCTGGCCAAAGCTGCTTTCTTTTTCCCTTGGTGTTCTCATTTTACTCCTTGGAAGAGAGCAAAATGTTCTGCGTGGAATTTTATCTTGAAATGTCTGTGGCCAGTGAGGAAAGCCCAAGGGACTATCTCAGAGACATGGAAGATCCAGGTGTGCAGCCTTTTATTCTTCACAGCATCAAGTATTTAACACTTTAATAGTTTAAATCAAGCTCATTGAACTTGCAGCTTTGGTCTAATTTGGGAAAAAATAATATTTTGAAAAATTCTATACAGTCCAACTAAAATCAAGCTTGTTAACCAGAATTAAAAGCCACAGTCAACTGTCCTGAGCATTTCTAAACTGTTGCCTAAATAGACTTGAGAGAAGACAGGGTTGTCTGGAGTAAAGCTCTTCCACAGGACAATTCCTTCTGACATGACAGGAATGTTTATCAAGGAGATTCATGTCAGGCACAAACATGTTCAGCTGTCTCCTTCATTGCTGTGACTGAACTTGTCACAGCACAGGACTGTGCTTGCACACCTGGTTTACCCAGAGATCTGGGTCTGTTGTGTTTGATGGTTGTTACTGTAGGATCCTAACATCCTTTTGATTCCTCAGAAGTAGATTAAAGTGTCTTTCTCCAGTTTTTGCATCTTATAGAGAAGAGTATAATTTGATGGGCTTGGCTAGTGTGATGGAGGAGCAAAAGCATGAGAATCAGGAGTCCTTTCCTTCTGGGCATCTATGTGGGGCTGATGTATACTCACTATATTGAACAGAACGGCATGGTGGTTTCTCCCAAGTTATTAGTTCCTTTTGAGTTTCCACTAGCCTCATCCTGCAGACACCCCCAGGGTTGAAACCAGATCTGCCTCTGGAGACGGGATATTTAGTGAACAGCCCTCCATTTGGCAGATACCTTCTTGATGAAGACATCCTTCAAAGTAGAGAAGAGGGAGCTAAGTAAAAGGGAAAAAGCTGCAAGTACTCATGGCACAAACATGGTCCAGGCTGAGGAGAACTTGAAATTCACTCTAACCAGGGCCTTCTCGGCCACTGTGAACCCTCTGAAGGAAGGCAATGTCCTGGGGACAGCTTTCTCTCCCTCCACAGTGACTCCCCCTGGTCTATAGTCTAAAGCCCCAGTCCTTTGACACAGCATTCAAAGCCTCCCAGATATTGTCTTGCTTATTTTTCCAGCTTAATTTCTTGCCTTTCCAGCCTCAAACTTTATGCGCTGGCAACCCTTCTTCTCCTAGATGCATTACGCCACATTTAGGCTCTGATTTGGTCCATAACGCCCGCAGTGTCCTTGCACGCTGCACTTCCTTCATCTGGCTAATGTCTTATTTAGACTCTAGGATTCAAGTTAAGAACCATATTGTCTAGGAAGTTTCTTTATGATTTCCAAGACTGGATTAGGTTCTCTTTCTGGGCACCCATAATACTCTATGCATATCTCAATGACTGACCCAATGACATTTTTATATATAATTATCTGTCTGTTCTCCTTTCCCTACGGTGAGTGACACTGATCCCCTTCAGGAATGAAGAATGTCCCTCAGATGCTGGAAGTGCTGCTGAAGACATTCCTCAGTCATCAGTTCTTGATGGGGATTGCCTTTGTTGAAGAGAACAGTCTGAGCCAATCATGTCCCCATTCTGGGGTGGTCAGCATCCAATGACTAATGAACATGGAGGTGGAAAGGCTCAGCTATTACATCCAGGTGGATTCAAGTTGGAAGCTCACCTGAGCTTCAGAACTCTCTGCAGGGTTGTCTGCGGCTTCCTTAGAGACTGCATCACAGCCGACTTCTCCCTGTGCCTAATCTTGCTTCCTTCCTGCCTTTCCACCGATGCTGATTCCAAGAGCTCTCTCGTAAGTCTCCTGCATGCTGATCTCCATCTCAGAATCGGCTTCCAGGGATCCCAATGTGAGCCACCTACTTTCGTCTGATCTGAGCAACTTGAGGACAGGGACTGTGCCTTATTCATCTTTGTATTTCTAGCACCCACAAAGTGCCTGGCGCAAAGTGTGCTCTAAATCAATGTTGGTGGGCAGGCTGAATAAATGAGATGCAAAGTGTGAGAGGGATTTGGCATTGTTAAAAGATGAAGGGGGCAATCAGGTTTCCTCTAGAAGGCAGATAGCTTCATCGTTTGATCGTCTCACCGTTAATAGACTCAACTATTAAACAGGCGAAGAGGTCTGGATTTGGAGTTAATAGATCCAGGTACAAGTGTTATTTTTCCCCTTACTTATGTGTGTGTATTGCTGGGTTCTAGCAGGAAGGAGAAAACACACTCAAACCTGGTGATTCCAGGAGAATTTAGTTGAAGGACTATTTACAAGGCAAAGGCTGAGTTCAAGGAAACCAACAAATAGTGCAGTATCTGGGGCTATTGACACATTACCATCTGAAGGCCTGAAGGGGCAAGGGAAGGGGGCCAAGTGTGGAATGCAGAGGGGCTACCAAAAGGGAATTGCGCCTTGCCTAGGGGGATAGAGTCTGTTCACTGAGACCTAGTAGGAAGGGAGCAAGGGAAATAAGGGCCCAGGGCTTATTCTGCAACGCCCTCCCCTCTCCTACCAGTGTGTCCCATTGGCCATGCCCCATGAGAAGCCAGAAGCCCAGGGGGTCCTTGCTGCAGGCCAGTGGCTTCCCAGGCACAGAGGGCAGAGAAGGGGGGGAGGGTGGAGAAGAGAGGAGAATGGATCTGGAGTGGTCAACAGAAGATGCCCAGCACAGGGACCATGGAGGGACTCAAGAGTTTAAGTGATTTGCTTCTTACCTGGGGACGGGAGCTCCACCCTGCCCACTGGATGGGTAAGATACATGAAACATGCTTTGTAAACTGCAAATTGCAATACATGTATTACATATGGTTTAACTGAAAATATTCATGCATTGTTTCCAAGGGTAGGTCTTCTTACAATACAACTTCTTTCCAAATCTAGGAAGAGCTGCAGCAGACAGTGTTACTGATTCAGTAGCAGGAAATCACTCCCATGCCTGCTGGCTATAGTGCATTTTGATTAATGGGACCTGGGGGTTGGAAAGGCCAGCTTTCTGAGTCATGACCTGTGCCCTGAAATTTTAGTTCTTAAAAAAAAAAGGAAGAGAAAATAAATGACTGTATGTGTTGAAAGCCTGAAAGTTTCAGCCATGCTTTTAAGTGCTTTTCATGGATTAATTTATCTTTAAAAAATATCACAAGGCATTTCTAATTTTTATTCTTGTTTTAAAAATGAGAGAACTGAAATGATGAGAGATGAAGTAATTTGCCCATGGTGACATATTTAGTAAATGATCTTGTAACTCACTGCCTTAGCCAATAAATATACTGCCTCTCAATACAGAATGTTCTTTTGCCTGTATTTGAAATGAAATCAAACGGTGCCATATTGAACTTGTACTTTTAAAATTTGTTTTAAATATTTATCTATTTTATCCAAGTAGATTTATTCACTGTTGGGTGGTATAAAATAACTGGATGAATTTCCAAGAATTTATTTGTCTATTCTCTTATTGATACATTAAGTTGAATCCAATTTTGCTATTACAAATGATGCTCCAATTGATATTCCTGTATATGTCCCTCTGTGAAAATTTGCTAGAAGAGAATTTATGACTAAGAGTGGAGTTCTTAGGCCATAAAATTTGTGTGTTCTCAATTTTATTAGATACTGCAAGATAATTCTCCAAAGATTCTGTAGAACTTGGCGCTCTGACCAGCAGTATATGAAAATTACTGTTGCGTCTTATACTAACCAACTCAATATTATGTTTCTGAATTTTTCTATCATAATGGATGGGAAATGGAATAGTCATTATTGTTTGTCTTTTATTGCTACTAATAAATTTGAGCATCCTTTCATATGTTTATTGGACGTTTGATAGCGCTCATCTATGAATTGCATATTTATACTCTTCCATTGTTTATCTTGTTTGTTAACGCATTTTGGTTAGTTAGAGTAGACTTAATTTTGTATAGTTAGAGTAGACTTAAACTTCCCAAAAAATAAAGTTCAAAATGGTCGCTCAAAAGATTTTGTTTTTAGTTCTTCAGTTCCTACATAAGAACGTAGCACGTTTTCTTCTGTGAGGAACTTTAGAACTATAAGCTGCTAAATGCTGCTGATATAGTTTAGCATTATTTGGAAGAATAATGTCACTTGATTTATTTGCCCAATACTCACTTAAAAGAATCTGTATAGTAGCTTATCTAACTCCATAGCTATCATCTCCCATCCAGTGGAAACTGGCAGGATTTCAAATCTTCCGGAGTAAAGTAAATGTGCTCAGGCTCAATATCATTTGTGGGAAATGAATACACAAAAGTTGAATTTAGTTTTTAAAAACTAACAATTCTTTCATTTAACTTATTTTTTATTATTTTTTAATTTTAATTCTAGTATTTTGCTTATATATATGTGTGTGGATATATGAGACCTAAAAAACCAGAGAGTTTAGATTTCCTGGGTCCCTTAGCAAAGGGCACTGTGGAACGTGTGCTCCCAAAGCAGTTTCACCATTTAGTTTCCTTCTCTTTTTCTCTCTGTCTCTGTCTGTCTGTCTCTCTCTCTCCTTCTTTCTGCCACACATTCATGCATGTACGTGTTCATTTACTACATACTACAATTACTGAATACCTACCATGTACCAGGCACTCTTAGAAATACATACTCTTTTAGAAATACGGTAGAAATACAGCAATGAATAAACCGAGAAAAATTCCTGCTTAAATTCTAGTGGGGGAAACAGACAATAAACAAAATATATAAGTAAAATATATAGCATGTTAGATGTTGGCAACTGCTTGGGAGAAAAATAAACTGAGAAAGGGAAATAGGGAGAACAATTTTTCAAAGTGAGATGAATGTCTATATTTAGCGATACGGATAGCAGCAGACCAGTGTAAAATGAAGTTAACACTATGTATCACAAACAGAAACAGTTTTGGTCCTAAATCCTTTAACGCAAAGACTTTGGGTAACTCAGTGAGATTCTCTGAGTTCTGCATTTCTCACCTACAACACAACAGAGGTGGAGTGAGGGCGGAGAAGGTAGAAGTAAGTACTCTAACTACAGTGAAGTGATCTAGTGTAACATGTAAACAAAATACTCAAAATCATAGTTGACTCCTTCTTTCACAGACTGTCAGTAAATTTTCTTCGCTCTGCTGTCAACATACATCCAGAATTGGACCACGGCTCCCACCTCCCCTGCTCCCACCTTGGTCTGAACCACCATCGTGTCTTGTCTAGTTTATCACAATAAACACTTAATGGCCTCCCAGCTCCTAACCTGACCCATGTCAGCTAGAGTGAGCCTTTAAAAAGTCACTTTTTTGTTCAAACCCTGCGTTGGCTCCCAGTGCACACAGAGTAACTGCCGACGTCCTTAGAGTGGCCTTCGAGGTCCACTCTGACCTCTCCTAACAGCTCCTGCCGTCGCTCACTCCCCTCAGGCCACACTGGCATCTTCATTCATTCTTGAATGCCAAGAATTTTCTGCCTCCTAGGTTTTTACTTTATCTTCCCTCTCTGGAATGCTTTCCCGAACTTATCCACTTCATTAACTCCCTCAAGTCTTTGCTCAGTTCTCTTCTTTTCAGTGAGCTCTGTGCTGAACACCCTAATTAAACTTCTCAACCTTTCCCCCTTCACCGTTTCTACCCCCGACCCCCATCTCCTGCTCTACTTTCTTCTTATTTCCATAGTACTCATCACTTTTACACATCTGATAACATTTACTAAATCAATGACTTATGTTTGTGTGTGTTTCTGCCTGCTAGAAATAACTTCCTAAGGGCAGCTCATGTGCCTGCAACAGTGCCTGGTCCAGAGTGGGTGCTCAATAAGTATTTGTTCAGAAATAATTAATGCTGTCTCATGCACATGCATGCACACACACACACACATACACTTTATCTCCTCATTTCCTCTCATGCTGTCCTTGGTCTAAACCACTTTCCCTCACACTTTTGGGTTATGTCATACTGTTATGGGCTGAATGTTTGTGGCCCCCTGCCATATTCCTGTGTTGAAGCCCTAACAGCCAGTGTAGCTATATTTGAAGATGGGACCTCTAAGGAAGTAGTTAAGGTTAAATGAGGTTATAAGGGTTGGGCCCTGATCCCATTGGATTAGTCCTTATAGGAAGAGACAACTCACTCTCTTTCTGTCCTTGCTCACACACTGAGGAAGGGCCATGTGAACACACAGTGAGAAGGTGGCCATCTACAAGCCAGAAAGAGAGTCCTCACCAGGAACTGAATTGGCTGGTACCTTGATCTTGGACTTCTAGCTCCAGATCTGTGAGAAATAAATTCCTCTTGTTTCAGCCACCCAGTGTATGGTGTTTTGTTATGACAGCCCCAGCAGACTAGTACGCTTACCCACATGCTTAGACTAGTCCTAAATCTCTCCTCTTCCATTAAGTCATTGCCAACTATGTGAGTCCACAGAGACACCCATATTCTGACTTTCAATAGCATTTTTAGATACATGACAATTTTTAGAGTTTGCTTGTAGTTTGCATTGACTTGTTCTCTGTTTTGTGTGTACATCTAATCTCCCAACATAAAAGTGTAAGCTGCTTTATGAGGGCAGATGTTGAAGCAAATACAAGCCCACGGTGCCAAGTTCCCTTTGAGGAAAGCAACTGTGTCTTACTCATGGAGAGGATTATAGAATTATTTTATTGCCTGAGGTCACACAAATGCTCTTGAAACAGAATCGGATCCAATGCTCATAAATCCTAGGCCAGGACTCCATTTTTGAGCAAGTACCAGTTTTGGGCACCACAGAAGGTACCCGAAAGGTAGATGTTGAATTCATAAATGAGACATCTATAAAAATATATTTATGACAAAATGTAGTTTTTAAGGACATCAAAGCATGTCTTCCTGACATCAAACTAAGGAATAAGTCAGGGTATAAGACATGAAATCCTGGATTTCACCTCATCTTTCAATTATCTATAATGTCATGCATGCCCCCCGCCTCCCCTCATGCTGTGCAGGCAAGCTCATCAGCCATAGAACGGGACTGAAATAACGAGGAAAACAGGAGACTAAGGAAAGCAGCATGAACTCTACAGTCATTGATCAAGCAGACAAGCAATTGAAAGGGATAATAAACACATTCAGATAATTACCCTCGTGGAAAAAAATAATTGATGGCCCTTTGATGTATAAGATTGCAGGAAAGGGGAGGCTGCCATCCTGACTTAAACAGGAGCTTGCACAGGCTTTGACTGGAGTCATTATACATATATATTTCCATATTATACATTCCTACAAACTACACAAACTATCACCAACTAAAATGGGGTTTTGAAAATTCTTTTCCCGAGTTACCATAGCATATTTGGTGGTTGAGTTCCCAGGTCAGCCTGCAAAAGTCTCTCTGACCTGCAATATTACAATTTTGGAGTAAAAACTAAACCAAACTGAAAATAATACAATTTACTGCTGATGGTTGAGGAAAAAATATTTCATTTGAGAAGCGGGAGAAAGTGGATGCACATTCCTATGGAAATTCTGGAGGAATTTTGGGTCTCTCTCGATCTTTGAATAGTGCTATTGTTTATCATGTCTATTTTCACTTGTAAAGGCAAAACTTTTGTTTTCTTTGATAGGTACCTGTCTAATACTACTTTTTCACATACAGGATAAGTCAAGCAAGAATGACTGGAAAAAATAAAAGAGAAATGTTCATCAAGAAACTGAGCAAGAGAAAGAGGTCAGAGAAAGTGTGACTGAATGTTTGAAAGACAGCGTGCTTCATGAGTGAGCTGGAGGTGTGTAAAAGAAAGGAAGAGGCTGAGCGTGTGGATAACTCAGCGAAGGCTGGTAGAAAGAGCGATGCTGTGGAGTCTGACTTCACTTGGATTTGCATGCTGGACAAATTACTTCCTTAACTTCTCAGTCTTAATTTCCTCATCTGTAAAATGAGGAAAGTCTTTGCCTTAGAAGATTGGTGTGAGGATTGAATGAGAGAATGTAGCTAAGGCCAAGAGTAGGGGAGTCCATAAGGAAGAGCCATCAATAAGCTGCTGCTGCTGGCCAGCGGGGTGGGAGAGTGCATAGAGGCAGCAGGGACAAAGCATTGGCTGGTTACTGTCTGGAATGCACTGGAGTAAGAAAGTGGGATGGGAGAGGGCGTGGGAGGAGAACTAACGGAGGAGGAGAGCATGTGCACGCTGGAACTATTCCCATAGTGCATGCTCTCAGTCAAGGGAATAAATGCATAAAGGAACGGATTATACTGTGCTCTGTTCCACAGCGGAATTTAGCAGAGCCCTTAGCATAGCAATTCTTCTTTCTCATTGCAAAAGTAGCACAATATCTCTGGGGTCTTTATCTTCAAGCACTGTCAGATTGGTCTTGAATGTTAGAAAGAAATTAGGGTTACAGCCCCGGGGCACCATCTCTGAGGAGCGTTGTGCTGTGGGGGAACAATAGAAGCATTGCTCTGGAAAGTGCTGTCTCTATTTATCGTCTCCTCGGGGGACTATTAGAACACAACCACGTCACAGTGAGGTTGTAGTGAACAGTAAGGACCTTTTCACGTCTTCCCTAGGAGCGAATTCACTCTTCACTTTGTGTCCAGCTTGGCCAATCCACAGCCTTGCCATCCCAGGATGACTTTTTCATCTTTCTTTTCTTGTACCACAGGGATTCTCAGCTAGGCTTTGTAGGGGTGGGGGAAGAGGATATCAGAAAGAGCAGAGAAGCTTTTTCTAAATATCCATGCCAGCAGCCTGTCCAGGTGGGCTTCCATATGGTCCTCCACTGAGAGAAAGGATTGACCACAGCCAGGCCCAGTCTTTTACAACTCGCAGTCAAATCTCTAAATCAGGTGGCTCTTTTCTTTTATCTGGACCTGTGGAAACCTTTTTTTTACAGTCTTCATCATCTCTCATCTGGTACTTAATTCAAATTCCCTAAATAATCTCAGGGAGCCAGTTGCATTCAAGGAAGAATGAGTTTATTGGTTAGATACTTATATGTATATATATTTTTTGGTGAGGAAGATTGGCCCTGAGCTAGCATCTGTTGCCAACCTTCCTCTTTTTGCTTGAGGAAGATTGTTGCTGAGCTAACATTTGTGCCAATCTTCCTCTATTTTATGTGGGATACCACCACAGCATGGCCTGATGAATGATTTGTAGTTCTGCATCCGGGATCTGAACCTTCGAACCCCAGGCCATGGAAGCAGAGTGCACAAACCTAACCGCTATGCTACTGGGCTGGTCCCCTAGCTACTTACCTTTTTAAGAGGTAATTGTAAGTAACTGTAACTATTTTAAAACTTCATGGAAAAAGAAACTGTAGATTTACTGTATGACAATAGTCAATCTTCCAATTTTCTGCAGAAGCTAAAATTTATGGGAAAGAATGGGGAATTAGCTTGTGCTGTGGTTATGTGACTAGCCCTTTTCCCTGGGAAGGGGAAAAGAAATCAATGGATGAGGGACCTGTAGAGACTTGTTGGGCCCCAGGAAACTCTGCCTAGGGGCCTAGAGTCATGATAATCTTCCCGCTCACTCTTATGGAGGTCCTGCAGTCCAAGGCATGGCCTAGATATATTGTTTCCAGGGCAAGAAAAACCCACTGAAGTATTAAACAGAATATTCTAAGAATCTTTTAAATCAACAGCTCTGCCACTTGACCATGAGGAATGTGCCCTCCCCAGGGATGCCTGGAGAAGACGGAATGTGCACCAACAGGGGGGCCTTACCTCATCCTCCTCCAGTCTCTGTGGGCCCTCGCTCTGCAACATGATAGCTGGACCTCCCTGCTCCCTGCGTCTGCACTCTCGCTCTGGGCAAAACTGCGCAGTGGACTAGCTTGCCTTTCAGTTTATCCATTTCGTCCTCCAATGCCACTCTACACCCTCATGCTGCCCCCTGACTGCTTGAAACTTTCTTTTGGGGGAGGCAGCATATTAAAGTTGGCAAACCAATAGATAGCCTGTTTACAGATGTTTTATCTCAGGAGTCTTTTTAATTTTTAATTAGAATTAGTTACCAACATTTGAAATTCAGAAGGTAAAATTCCAATTTCTCGGCTTCTCATGGAAAAAATCCAAAGTTCTAGCCTCAATCGACCACATTCCCTCACGTCATGAAGCTATCCCCTTGAGACAAGGTCTGGGCTCTTGAGTTTGCTACTGTCATCACCTCTCTCTTTTAATTTAAAAGGACTTGTTTCACTCGGTTTTTTACATCTATGAGCCCATAGAAATTGTGGTTTGCTACTCCCCGGTGTAGGGCTATGGTTAAGCAACACAGGCAGTCTTCAGATTTGAACGTCAGCCTGTGTGATGGAGGGCTCATTACTTAACTTTGGATGTCTTCTTTTTCTCATCTGTGAAATGGAAATAATGATACCTACCTCATGAAGTTATCATGGGGATTATATAAGATCATATCTAAACAGCACCTAGAAGGATCCCTGGCTCAGAGAAAACTCCTGATTAAGGACCACTATGCTGGGGGGGCTGGCCCCGTGGCCGAGTGGTTAAGTTCGCGCGCTCCGCTGCAGGTGGCCCAGTGTTTCGTTGGTTCGAATCCTGGGTGCGGACATGGCACTGCTCATCAGACCACGCTGAGGCAGCATCCCACATGCCACAACTAGAAGGACCCACAACGAAATATACAACTATGTACCGGGGGGCTTTGGGGAGAAAAAGCAGAAAAATAAAAAAATCTTTAAAAAAAAAAAAAAAAAGGACCACTATGCTGGGCAGTCCTCTCAAAAAGTATTTCACGTGTTACACCTTTCCTAACCCTTCCCTCAGCTCTCCTCTCCCTATGCTTATCTCCAACTCATGAAAACCAGAAAAAAATTTTTGCCTCTCATTCAACAAAACTGGAATTAAATATCGACTAAGAGCCAGTCAACGTGTTATGTACTGGGGAAAGCGGGGTGCCGGGGAGACATATCTCCATGAATAAGACATAGTTTCCCGTCTCAAAGAGGTCGTGGCCTGTTATATAATAATGATACGATTTGATCAATACTACAATTGAGCTATACACAATTGCCGTGCCAGGCCATGGCAACATCAAGGAGGGCACAGCAATGAAAACAGTTGCAATAATCGCTTCCATTTGTAAGTAAGTGATGTGCTCATAATGGTCCCTAAAAAAAGAAAGAAAAGCCCCTTGGAGCATTTGCCCATTTCCATGGTGTGAATACTCCCCCCATGGCTGATTTCAAGCTATCAATGGTCTAAAATTGGCTCTTGTGAGTTGGTTCCAGTGCAC